AAATTCAGGAAAGATTTGGCTTTACTGCGGGAAACTACCTAACTTAGCTCGCGCTTTTGGAATAAGACACATATATTAGGTTGTCCCGAAAGTTTTGTCGGTTTTTCCAAACCACTGCAAAACCACGCACAATAAAGAACTGAGTGAGTTTCAACATGCATTCGATGCAGCTTTTCCTTCTCTTTCTTAAGGATTCACTTTAGAACCATAATCTTGCATGCTTTTTTTGATAATTGCAAAAGTTCTCCACCCGTCAACCTTACCTGCTTAAAATTAAGCTAATTTTTAAAAACTTCATTCCGTAGCTTCGAAAAGCGTTAAGTATGGATCAAATAGAGCAATTCTCGGACTACAAGGTATCAATTTTAGATTCTCCTAATCTGCTGTATTTAGCTTCGAAAAATTATTTCTCCGGAGGCCTCGAGTTTTGGCAAAGTCATGAAACACGCAACTGCATCAAATACACGAAAGCTTTCGAAGTTTCTGCTTATTGAAATATGATTTTTACTAAACGTTATTTATGCAACATATATAGCTTTTTGGAATTTTTGGTACTTTTACTTGTTAAACTTAATCAAAAAGCCGCGGTTTTTACCAAATAAATAATCATAACGGGCTTGGTAAACGCGGTTCATGTAATTTAAAATAGAAACAGTGTAGCCGAAGGTTTGCTCTACATAACACTTATCAGCGTTCTTTGGAAACATCAGAATAAAAAATTCTAAAATTCAGGAAATATTTGGCGTTACTGTTGAGCTGCTCAAAAAGTCATGGCGATAACATTGTAAAGACAAGGTAGATAGAAGAGCAAGTATATCTGTAAGAAAGAGAATAGAAATCTGAATCAAATGGCACCTAAGCCGTCCATGGCTTGCTGTTCTGTGAGTTTTAGTGAGCGATGAAAAAAATCGACAAAACTTTCGGGACAACCTAATATTTGGAATCAGCTTCGGGTTTGCTCTACATAACAGTTAACAGCGCTCTTTGAAAACTTCAGCATAAAAATTTTAAAAGTCCAGGAAAGATTTGGCTTTACTGCGGGAAGCTACCTAACTTAGCTCGCGTTTTTGGGATAAGACACATATATTTGGAATCAGCTTCGAACGCTGATGCCAGGTATGCTGTTCCCAGCTGCCGCGCATCATTCTCAACGGAGTTATGAAGCCTCCTCCCCTACGACTCGCTCCACCGGCTACTCTAGGGAAAACACGACAATGATTACCAGAGGTAGTGTGGTGAAATGGTAAGTGTCTCGCTCAATAAGCTGATGGTCCGGGTTTCGATTCCTATTGCGTGTTTCTCCTTTTGCAAACTCAACTTTCAGAATACACTTTTGTTAACAGTGCATTCAGACTGCGGTGTACAAGTTTCACCATAGAAACTTTACATTTTGGATCTCAATGCTGCCCCGTTTTCGGTTGAAAATGATTTTTGAGTGGGCTCAAGGCAGAACATCTTCAATTTATGATAACCCCACTCACCAGATGCACATAGACATGATCGAACACTTGTGAACCATGTTTGGGTTTCTGGACTACCTTTGCAAAACAAAAGACACGCAATGGGACTCAAACCCCTGACTATCAGCTTATAAAGCGAGACACTTACCATTTCACCACACGAACTCAGATAGTCATCGTCGTGTTTACACTAGACTTGCCGGTATAGCGAGTCATAGGGGAGGAGGCCTCACAACTCCGTTGCGAATGATGCGCGGCAGCTGGGAACAGCATATTTGGCATCAGCGTTCGAAGCTGATTCTAAATATATGTGCCGTATTCCAAAAGCGCAAGCTAAGTTAGGTAGCTTCCCTCGTAAGATGCTCAGAAAGCATGATGATAACATTGCAAAGACAGGGTAGAACAGAGAGCAATTATAGCTGTAAGAAAGAGGATAAAAATCTGAACCAAATGGTACCTAAGCCGTTCATGAATTGGTGTTCTGTGTTTTGGTGAGCGTTGAAAAAAAACGGACAACTTTCGGGACAACCTAATATTTGTTGCATAGGCTCTGGTAGTAAACAGCCCCAATTCTGAATGATTTTATTGTAGCCGCGCTTTCGAATTTTCGCAACAAAAAAGGAATAGCACTAACTATCCTTTCCTTGTTATTAGGTTGTTGCAAAAATAATGTCCGTTTTGCAAATTTTCACTTTGGAAAGCTATAATTTCGTTCAATCTTTATATTTTTAAATACAGTCAGAATCATCGAAACAACAAACCTTTTGTAAATTGGCGCGCACCTGCACGTGCTAATACCGCAAACGGGAAGGAAACCATGCGTCAAGAAACTGAAACTTTTTCTTTGGGAAGACCTCGTCCTTAAGAGCTTACAACTCCCCTTAAGTTTTGTTCGTATGGCTGGCAACCAGCTTATTTTGTAGCCGCAGGCCATGAGTTTACGTGTGTATAGAAAAGACTCCAAGGAAGGAGATATGCGAAAAGAAAAGATAAAAATTCAAAAATGTTCACTTTTTTGAGCCTATTTGTTGTAAGCTTGTGAGTGCCAAATTATGATAATTTGGAATTCTTCGTGCACTGAATAGCTAAGTTTCTCTTCAAATATTGTAGTTAAGGTGTGCTGATCTCAAGCTTACAGAAATGGGTAAAGCTTTGGCGATTGCCTCAGTTATGAGAAATTTCTGACCCACAGAATGTCAGCAGCGAGTAACTATTTCGAGGCGTAGATTTCTCAGTTCAGGTTCTCCAAAAATCTACGTAAGCACGCAGTAGGTAAACAATCTTCATTTGATACAGTTACTATGTTTTCAGAAGAATTCGTTTATTTGGTCCTGAATTGTGGACAAGAAATTGCTATGAGATTTTGATTTTGAGTGCGGATGTGCAAAATGCTGGTGAAATTCTCACAGATGAGGGTAGCAACTTAATTTCGCCACAATTAGAAAGTACACGATGAGAGCTTTCTAATGGTATGCAGGTTCTATACCGTAAAATAAAGTTTGATGGAAAAAAGTTGTTTGGAATATAGACCTAGAAAAACGGACATTATTTTTGCAACAACCTAATAGTTCAGCTATTGATAAAAAGTGCGAAGGATACAAGCCATCGAAGAGAACTTCTCGAGTTTAGCATTTTTGAGCAAAAGTCAGAGAAACTACCGCTACTATGGGTTCGAAACGTACATGTTCCTTACACAGAGGCGGCTGGCTACGCGCAGTGGTAAACTCACAATCGAAACAGAGGAGAGTAAAATTTATTGCTGCTTTTCTTATAACTGTCATCCTAACCAAGATCTCTCGAAAAAGCTCAACATGAACATCAATCACCAAAATAATTTCAAGATTATTGATAACATTCTGAAATATATAATTGAATTTTAGGGTTGATCCAAAAGTAATGGGGCACCTAGAAAATAAATGCAGTTTTCTCGAATAGAAAAGCTAGTTGGAAGTCCAAGTTTTGGCAGATGTTAGTACGTAACAAAACCTTCTGATCGAGGTCTATAATTGGGCACTGTCACATGGCGTTATTTTTATCAGCGCTTAAAATTAAAGCTCATCACCTCAAGTAATTTTGAACTTTGAGCAGCAGCGCCGCGGTGAAACAAGTGAGCCTATCAAAGATATCTGCGCAGCAATGGGTGAGGAGACTGTCACCAAACTCACGATAGCTTGGTGGTCCAAAGGTTCAAGAACAGAAGATATAGCATTGAGTATCAGGAGACATATTACTTATTCTTTCATCAAGGTAATCGAATGAGCTCAACCTTAACAGTTGCTTTCTAATAGTGCTTTTTACGCTCTATCCATACATATGACTAATTCGATTTCAAAAAATTGTGGGCCAAAACATGAATTTTAGTCCGAAAAACTGCGCAAACACCCCCTTTTTCGAAAAAAGTGCCTTTATGAAATAATGGGCAATCTTTGAGTATTCAAGTAATCATTAGAAAGAGCTTGGAAAGCTCTTTCAAATAAATAGTGCCATGTCGAGGGACTTTCAGGTGTAGCAGCACAAATTCGGATGGTGTTCAAAAAAGTGTGTTTGAATTCTTTGAAGCGCCGCTCGAAGTAATTTCGGTGAGGTGCTGCAAGGCGCTGTCAAGATAACCTGCAAAGGTCACTTTATACGAAAGCGTTCAGATTGCTGGTTGTCCATAGCTAATCAGAAAGAGATCTTGAAGAATGTTCAAATCAAGGTGCCCCACTACTTTTGGATCTCTCTAATAATTCTATTTCCGTAAAAAGAGTCTGGAAGCGATAAAAGCCATCAAGAATGTGCCTCACACCTCACATCTTCATATGACCAATTAGAAGAAAAAACAGCAAAAAAATTGCTTTCTCGGCTTCAGCGAACCTGAGTCTACCAGTGCACGTAGCAAGTCAACATGTATAAGAAGTATATGTGCAGATTTTTTTGTGTCCGTTTTGCCTTTTTTGCCCTCCTTCAGTATTTTTATGACATTGCTTAAAAAATGCGAAACTCAAGTCTCATGAATCGCAACTTTCATATTTTTTCGATAGCTTATTTCAAAGTAAGCGTTGCAGGGAATGTTTTTCTCTAATTAACAAAATTTTCGCTTTAAAATAGGGTGCCGCCAAAAATTGATTTTTTTTCAAACGGTGCAACAGAACATTCGGTTCAACCTGATAGACGATATGACACTCCTGAGATGGAGCTCTTGGATTCAGTTACACTCCAAAGCGAGATATAGAGAAGCGCCGCTGTTGTCATCCGACTCAGGCAACCATCGCACCTTTTTTTCCACAAATTATAAAATAGGGTTAAAACCAGTTAACAATTGCGCCGTAGAAGAACAACTTCAGTGCGCTTAGTTCAATATAGCTTTTGATTTAACTGGCTTGACTGCTAGAAGGCGGGGCCTTATGACTTAATTAAGGCCGCTTGCGCCCGCTACGCAGTCTGCGCCTCTTCCGCGCAAGTGCTCTTTGATCATTACCTAGATTTGATTAGGTCACGAAGCCCCGCCTTCCAGCCGCCAAGCCAGTTGAATAAAAGTATATCTGATGACCTTTACAGTCAACGTACTAAACGGCAGTCAGAACAAGAAGACGGAGGACTAGCTGGGACAGGTCCAGGAAGCGATATCGAAGAAAGAGACAGAATGATGCAAATGATTCCGCCGGGACAAGGTCCAGTGGTCGCTCAGTTGCCGCCTACGGAGTAAAGGTCGCCGCCTGTGCGCTACGAGAAAAATTTTGGCAAGAATCTGCTTGGATTTCTGTTGTCCGTCCTAATGAATTTTATGCTTGTTGAACATGTGGTTTCACAAATATTTTATTTAGCGAGTAATATTTACAATTTTCAAATTTGACAGGTTTTGACACAATATTTCAACAAAAACAGTTTTAACAGGATAATGCTGTCTTTGACAGCTGGCATTTAATACTAATAGCTTAGGTAGTACTTATAAAATTCAGAAACATTTTAAAGCCAACATCAACAAGGTATTTACGTTCAAATGTAATATCAACAATACGTGTATGTAGTAATGATGACAACGAAGTTGATAGTAACACATGCAACAGTATGACGAGCTAACTTGAAATAACCGCCAATAAAATCACTACGTACTTTGACAAATAAACTGGACATGAATACGTAGATATCCTACTATAATAATGCGCTACGGGTGTTTACGTGTTTTTGTGTGTGTGTCTGTCTGAATGTCTGTCACGAAATTCGTAGAGCGTGTTCCAGCCAACGTCCTGAGCTCAAATTATGCGTAGCACTTGCTACTGGCATGAAAGTCCAACATACAAAAGCACAAGCAGATTTTTTGAGCGAGTCTCTTAGAAATTGCGCGTCAAACGGATCCACTTTGCATTTAGCTCCCAAATTAAGTCCGTAATTCCACTTTTGCAGAATGATAAACGCTTATGGTTAGTAAATGTGCAAGTCATGAACTTAGGCCCAAAAAAGTGAGCCTGCGCGCCACCTGTGCGCTGCATGGCCAGCCCACAAATCATAGCGCGCCGCCTGCCCTGCTAGGCTTGAGTGTGCGCCGCTTGCGCACAGAACTGTCTGAGCGAAGGACCTGGTGGTATTAGCAGGGAATAGGAGGTCCAGGCCCAGTAATTGGAGGGCAGGCCGGCATAAGATTGGGAGGTCCAGGTCAATAACAACTGGAGGAGGAGCTGCTATTAGACGCTGGCGTGATAAGATCGACGCTCAAAATTTATGACTTATTTGAAGTTATTTGATACATTAACATATGTGTTTCTCCTCATATATTGTATTGTGTGTCTAGGTAAGACTAAAATTGTTTTACTGATCATTTTCTTCGTGTTGAACGAAGACGTACAAATGAGAAGACACATTTGCCTTCCTTGCACTTCCTCAAGAACTCCCTGTTCTAAGAAATCATGTGAAATTTTGCAGTTCAACTCGATGGAAACGACTCATATTCAACAGAGTTGCCTGCAACTTTGGAATAATTTTTTTTTGTTTAAACAGGACAGATGTTGATGTAACTGTTCTCAGCCTGTTTGAGTTATGATATCGATATTCCACTAAAAATGCTTCTCTCAATGCCACCTTAGGCATGCACAGGGTGTCCTAAAAGTATGTATACACTGTGCATCGTTTATATCTCTTTCTCGGAAATTTTTTGCCTATCTTTAGGTACCATTTTGTAGAGCTGGCTTCAACTTAGATTACGATGTAGAGCAAACCACCATCGCTTTATTACTGTAGGATTACGGCAGGAACTTTTGCCTTACAGCGTCGATATGCATTAACCGTGTTCAAAAAAATTTTCTAAAAATTCTGAAAAGTGGTGTTTCAGGGATTCGTAATCCTACAGTAATGAGGAGAGATTAGAGATTCGCACTATGCAATTAATCTAAGTTGAAGCTATACAAAATGGTATTTGAAGGCAGGCGAAAAACTTTTAGGGAGGAGAGATATTAAAGACCAAACAGTATATATAAATGTATCCACTGTTTAATTGTTAATAACTCTCTTATTATGAGGCATTTCGAGAAGCGTTAAGCGCCATTTTGTAGAGCTCGCTTCAACTTAGATTTACAGTATAGAGCGAATCACCGATAGCTCTTCATTGCTATAGGATTACGGTAGAAACTTGGAACATATGGTGTCACTGTGGAAGAAGCTGCCGTTTCAAAAATTTTCAAAAAGGTGTGAAAACTTGTGTAATAGGCTTTTTAGGGACGCTGAGTTCAATGCTCAACTATTCTCAAGATTTCGAAGCTTTCTAAACGGTGTAACCGCACTTTTTAGGAACATTGAAATAATGGCCGCTACCTCTTACTTGGCATAACTCTTTAATGAAGCATCATAATAAGTTGAGAACTTTACAGTTAGAATCAGCAACCCTAATTGGCCGAGGGTAAAAGTTTTCAGGCTGTTTTGATTCCATTTTGAGGCAAAATATGGCCTCTCATAGCCCAAAACCCTCTTTCAAGTTTCTACCGTAATCCTACAGTAACGGAGAAGATGGACGATTTGCTCTATACAGTTAATCTAAGTTGAAGCCAGCTCTACAAAATGGCGCTTACCGCTTCTCGAAAGACCTCAAAATAAGAGAGTTATTAGGCTGTTGCAAAAATAACGTCCGTTTTTCTTGGCCTATATTTCAAACAACTTTTTTCCATCAAACTAACGATGGTGGAACTACGCTGCTATCCTCATCTGTGAGAATTTCACCAGCATCTCGCATAACTGCACTCAAAATTGAAATTTCGATGCTTGAGTTTCCGTGGCCACAATTCAGGCGCAAATGAACGAATTCTTCTGAAAAAATAGCATTTCTATTGGATAAAGATTTTTTACCTACAGCGTGCTTATGTGGATTTTTGGAATTATCTGGACTGAGAAATGGACGCCTTGAAAGAGATACTCACTGCTGGCATTCTATGGACCAGAAATTTCTCATAATTAAGGCAATCGCCAAAGCTTCGCCCATTTCTGTAAGCTTGAGATTAGCACACCTCAACTACAGTGTTTGAAGAGAAACTCAGCTATTTACTGCGCGAAGAAATTCAGATTTTTCCAATTTGACACTTATAAGCCTACAACAAGTAGGCTTAGAAAAGTGAACTTTTTTGAATTTTTGTCTTTTCTTTTCGCGGAACTCTTTCGTCGGAGTCTTTTCTATACCCTCATAAACTCTTGGTCTGCTGCTACAAAATAAGCTGATTGCCAGCCATACGAACAAAACTTTAAGGGAGTTGTAAGCTCTTAAAGAAGAGGTTTTCAAGAAAAAAACTTTTAGCTTTTTGACGCGTGGTTTTCTTCCCAACTGCGATATCAGTATGAGCAGGAACGCGCTAAATTACGAAAGGTTTGCTGTTTCTGAAGGTCTTCACTGCATTCAAAAATATGAAGACTGAAGGAAGTTATAGCCCTCCAAAGTGAAAATTTGCAAAACGGACATTATTTTTGCAACAACCTAGTATTAACAATCAAACAGTGGATACATTTTTTTGGGACACCCTGTATATATAAGCAAGATTCAGCAAGTAAATATCCCTTTTAACGAAGAATTTAGCAAACTCACGGTTTAGACCCACCTACCGTATACCCACAGTAGTCCCAGAAGATGGACATTAGCGAAATTTAGATCGTAATCAGCTTACCAAAACTCCGTCGGCGGCGTTTTGAGATTTGATTGATTAAAGATAAAAAATAAACACAAATGCGAAGCCATTTGTAGTTCAATAGGTGTGTCTGCACACTGCGCGCGACAACCGACGACCCCTTATCAATGACACTTAAGCAAAAAAATTTCCAGAGGAACAAACGGTAAGATTGTGCACTACTAACTGAGATCGATTCAGAACAAAAGATAATAAGCCTTGAAAAAAAGTTTCAATATCTCAAATCGTGAAGTAGCGCGCGTGGTGTGTAACGCTTACTAAGCCACAAAATACTCGACATATATTGTCCACTCCATCACTCAAGCCAGGGTTGTCTACAACTAAACCCTCGAATTACCAGAGTAATCGTATGCTTGCATTTTTTTCTGACTTCCGCCAGGCTTAGATTGCAGGAGAACAAGCCTATTACTCACCTGAACATCCATTTGTACTCCTTCTCTCCGCTGTCCTTTGCGAGCTCAATCCCGCTAGGATTTTTGACGAATCTCTAAGACCTGAAAAAGAGACTTGACCTTGACTATAGGTAGCAAAAGAAGGAAATTGTGTGAGAACCTAATTGCAAAAATACATTGACGAGTACGGGGTGAGATTACGTGCGGAAGTGCACTTTGGCTTGCAGAGACAACGCTGTCATAGCGTCTACGCTTTTGATGGATATCGATTTTGCTCTACGTGTAGCATGGAATGAGCATTTGCAATCGATCTGCATCAGTAAAGTGGAAGCCTATCCTTTTTGAGTATCGTTCATGTTGCTCCATACTAACTCCAATCTATACGAATCTGTTGACCACTTAGAATTTCCTTTATAGTCCTTTGCTAGCAAATTATGCAGCTTATCCGCGCACCTTGTTCGCAGAATGCCGATTTGCTCGAAAATTTCAATTTCAAAGCATCAAAAGGTGAATATAGGCATGTGATGAAAATATAGGACACTAGCTGGCTTACCCGGCTCCGCCCGGCCCTGTCAAAAACGATAAAGGTTCCATTTCTCCCCCCTGTACACTTTTACTTGTGCACACTTCTACATGCAATTCCCCGTTCCCGCTGTGTGAGTAATCAGTATTCAAACTTTGCAAAAGAAGACAGTAAAATCGATAAAAGTAAGGATAATTCTAAAAACTGATGGCGTTATTAGGCTATCCGGACCCTAAAATGTTTTTGTGGTGGATCTTGCTTGAACTCGATATATGGGGTTATTCAAGCCGCTGATGATGAATATCGTAGTCATTTCTAAAAACCATGAATGTGCCTGAAACCTTGGTAGAGAATTACCTAAAGTGCTGTTTCAAGAATATCGTGCTCAATCCCCACGATAAAGGCAATTCGTGTGGTATAAAAGTTTCCCACGACCGTAATGCTTCCCCTTACAGGACCACTGCCGCGCGCGAGACACCCTTCGGCGGCTTTTGCCTAAGCAAAAACAGGGGGAGGGAGATTTGCCGCGTGCGTTACGCGTTGGGACAGGTTATCAGGATGGCGCTGGAGACCGCCATGCAAAACGACCGTTTCCCCATCTCTTGAATATCTGGGATCTAAATTGGCCCGAAAGCGAAAAAATGTCCATTCAAACCCTGCAACTCACCATAACTTCACAATAATGCGTTATGACAGCGAGCAAGCATCA